CCATGATCCTTTCAAATATTGGCAAAAATGAGCTTACTTTCTTTCTGCTGGAGTAGGAATAGCTTTGATTCAAGGGTAGAGCCACATTCTGCCATAATGTTCTAGCTGCCATCTCCAAAGGCAACGGAAATTTCTATTGAAACATGTATGTAGCAAATTTCTAGACCTGTCACATGGTCTTCCTATCCTCCTGGCAGTGGATACGTGTTGCCCTCCAAGACCCAGCCGCACCTTCGTGAGCAGGATACCGCCACGTGACTCAGGTCGCAGGCTTCGGAGGGGATGGAGTCCTGATAGGCTCCTTGGAAAGGCACCAACGCTTTCAGAACCCTGAGACCTCAAGAGTGGAGATAAATATTTTTCCTAATAAGTACCCAGAGGGAAAATGTTAGGTACGTACTTTTTTCAAGGTCCAAACTCAGTTGTAGGCAGAGCTCTTTCTAAAAATTTCAAAAGAAAGGCAAGCCAAAATGTGCAGGCATACCACCAAGCTTCTATAACTTTTCCAGATTGTGGGCATTGAGACAGAGCAAAGGGGCCCAGAAAAAGAGGGACAGAGAGTTGGCAAGACCAGGGCCAAGCTGACAGGCCTTTAATTCCAAGTCTGCATGGTCTGGTTACCTTGCCACCCCATAACCTTAAGTAAGTTAGAAGGATGATGCAGAAACTGAAAAAAGTTGATAATGTTCTGATTTCATTCGCTCAAACATAGGTGAGGATATTATCTATGCAAAATTATAGATCACATGAGGTTTGAAAGATGGTGCACCAGACATTATTCATATCTTATTTAAATATCTTAGCCTAGAAACTTTAAATTTGATATGCTAAGCAAGATAAATAATATTCTGACTTTAAAATGCCAGTACTATATCTATATTATGAAAGCTGAATTCAGAAATGCTATCGCAATAACTAAATCACATTTATCAAGTGAATGACTATACAGAAGTAGGTCATGTAGAAATGGACAGAGCTCTCTGATTAAACTGAAAATGGTTCACCCAGTGGCTGTACCTAAGTGATCCAGTATTAACAAGTTCCTGTGCTGACATTCAGCATTGTTAGAAGAATGATCCGAAAATTAACTGAAGTGAGGGAAAAGTAGTTAAAATTAAACCAAACTGTGTTCATGGGATATTTGCACATTGATAAGGTAATAAATAACCTCTTTGGTGATATCAGAGCCACCAATGAAATCCACTTACCCTTCCTTTAGTGTAATTCAGATGGTACTTTGGGGTCATAGGGAGGTGGGACCAGGCCTCCTGGTCCTCACTCTGTCACCGTCGGCCGCCACTGCACCCGAGGGTGGGCTTTTGTTGGGCTCACTGCGGAGCAGCGTTATTGTGCAGGAGGTTCGGCTGGGGATGGTTTCCTGCCTTCGAAACCTTACCCTAAGCTTTCCACCAAAACAACTGGGGAGTTGGGCAGGCAAAGGGAAGAAAGGAGGTGCTCCATGTGAGAGAGAAGACTATAGCATGTGGTGACATGCGTGTCTGTGACATCTCAATCAACACACAGAAACAACTGCACATTGATGGGAAACAACGTTCCATGCGTCATGCCCTCCCTTTATTTCTGTCAATTGCACCCTAAAGCAATATATTCTGCTTGATTGCTCTCTCTCTGTCCAAGAATGTGGGCGCCCTGGGATGGTGGGAAGAGGAGCCTCTTTTCCTGCCATATCCTCCCCTCAAAAGGGGTGATGCGGGGCCGAAAGGGAGGCTGGCTCAATTCTGAGAGTCTCTGAGCCCCATTCCCTCCCTGTGCCCACGCGGCGAGGCGAGGCAGAGGTGTGCACCGCTGGGACAGCATGGTCCCAGGCACAGCTTCACTGCTCTGCTTTGCCTTCGCCTCAGCTTAAATCCTGCTCAAGGCACCTTTGAGGACCAATGAAAGGCGAGCCCACGTGGACATGCAGGATCCCGCCTGGCCTGGCCTCTGGCCTTCCCTGGCTGGGCCAGAGTCGGAGCCAGGGCTGTGGAACATCCAGGCGTCCAGTCGTTGTCTAGCCTCGGCGAGTGTGCCGCCCCCACCCCCGACTCTCACTGCTCTGTCATCCCTTTGTTCACTTCCGATAGTTTTACTCAGATGTGGTTTAGTGTTTTCTTTCCAAGGCATATTTTGCATGGAAGAATGCTTTCAGTGAGCTGGGGCCCTAATTGCCAAATAATGGTTGCCAAAACATGTTATTTTGGCTTTAAGCTGGTACAGAGCAGGAGGCGTTTTCCCCTCATGAAAAAAATCCTCCTTCAGCAGCCCAAGGACCATGTGCACACACAAGGGGCTGACGCCTCCAAGGCCCTCCTCCAGCGGGCGAGGGGGCCTGGGCCCAGTGGATGCCCTGCTCTGGGGAGGGACGGTCGGTGCTGGCTCAGGGCCAAGCGTACCCCCTACCCGCCCCACCACCCGGGGGTTCCTGCCCATGCCCCTGGGACATGTCTGCAGTTAACTGCACACACAAGCCGCCCAGCAGGCATGGGAATTCCAACTAGACACAGATCTGGGGCCCCGGGGAAGCTGGGTGGAACTGATCAGTACGAGATATATCACTGCTAATTAAGTCCTGATCCCCTGGCTCCACTTGAAACAAACCAGGGAGGCCTCAGGTTTTGAGAGCAGGTGGTAACTGGTTGCAAAAGACAAGTCCATCGCTCGAGGAGGAGGTTTTGCAGGTAGCTCTGCGAGGACGGAGCTCAGGGGGCCCAGGGCTTTGCTGGAAAAGTTCATTACTGGACAGAGCCATGGCTCCTATTGGTCTGCAGACACCAGGGGCTGTGAGGACCCTCTCTGCTGAACAAAGGCCTCTTTCCTTGTCCTCTGCTTCCCCCTTGGTCGTGCATTGACTTTCTCCCCAGATGGACAATGGCGTAATTTAGAGGCAAGTAAACACTCTCCTGGAGACGCCAGCAGCAGCTTCTTTTTGGCACAATGTGGTGTTTGTTGGGGCTCAAAGGCCAGTCCAGAGTGGGCCCCACACAACCTCCCACCCTGCTCGAGCCTCTCCCAGACTGTTTAAGAAAAAACATTCTGAGCACAAATGTGTAAATAAACCTAATTGCAAATATTTACCTGGAGAAAGTCTGAGAGTTCCGTGGGTATTGTGCGTGTGTATGTAGATGGAATATGTGTGAGTGTTAAGGATCTGGATGAACACCCTAGTCAACATTTTTTCTTCTTCAGAAACGTTGGCCATACTCTAGAGAGTTTGGTTTTAAATAATGGCCAGCATGGACTGGGCACTGCTGTGTGCAGGGGCTCTGCCAGGTCTTTACACGCATTATCATTTAATCTTTACCACGACCCTGTGAAGTGGGTGTGGCTTCGAGAGGTTAAATGACACACCTAGCCAAGACCAGGTGAAGATCTGAACTCCGCCAGAGCCTGTGTTTTTCAGCATGAGGCTATCCTGCCTCCCCACTCTGGATCCTGCACAGACATAGCATAATGCATTGCACAGTGTAAGCGCCCAACAAATACAGTCAATGAATGAATGAATGAGTGAGCCTCAGGTGACATTAAGGATCAGGCTCAGGTTCATATAAAAACAGTAACCTGGGAAATTGTTCTAATATGTGTTAAGTCCAACAGTCTGGAGATCTCATATTTGGGGGGCTATATTTGTACTGAATAAAAAAAAAAAGTATATTCTGAGGGTCTTCCTTTGATCTGCATGAAGAATGCTCTCAGTCCTGACAGCCTTGGACCTGAGTTTGGCACATTTTGATGAAGCTGCAGGCAAGTTGGCTGAAGTTGCTGGCAGTGACTCCAGGAATCATTATCAACATAATTTCCTTTTTCTTACGACATGTAATCCTTTTCCGAGCCTCACACCCCAATCTTCCGACGACTCTTGATATTGGGAGCCTGCTGCTTTGAGTCGTGCGTCCTGCCTCCGAGCACAGGCTTCCTCTGGAATGCCTTCTGTGTTTATTGCACTGTTTATTAGTTTTATAGCAGCAGAGCCGAGCGCGTCTGTGGTGTCTTTCTGTGGACGGTGCACGTCCCTCAGCCCCACACAAAGAGTGGTTTGGATTCTTGTTAGCGCCTGAACTGACTAGAAAGTAATTTAGAGGGAAAGCGTGGATGTTAACGGACACCGTTTCATGAATGTTTTTGAACAGAGACAAGTATTTCTCACGGTGGTGCTTGGAGAGACTTGGAGAGCAGAAAAGTGGAGCTCAGCTAAAGCACAGAGTTGAAAATGCTGAGGGGAGTTTTAATGTCTGGATTCAGCTTTGCTGGGGCCATGAGGCCCCCATCTTGTTTTGCTTTCCAGCTCTTCCGCTGTCCTTTGGTTCATCCTGAATAGCTGGCCAGCACTTCCCTGGCTCACTTCACCGTCGCTGTGATGAGAAAGAGCACTGCTGGTCGGCACCCTTTTTGCAAGAAGCTTTAGCTGAAAGATGTAACGTAGCCGAGGGTGACTGACGGAGAAAACTCCAGCTCTGTGTATGCCTGCCCACCTCCATCCTTCCTTTTCTGGAGGGCGAGTTTGCCAGAACAGCTTGCTCAACCATCAGTTAAACTGATCTCTTGCTTTCACCCTTGCGGGTCCTTGTCTATGCAAACGGATCTCCCCAACTCTTCAGAACCGTGACCTTTAACGTCCGCTGAGGAAAGTAAGAGACCTGCACGTTTTACAAAACTGATGTGAGATTTGTTTAGAACTTCAGAAAAAACTAGAGTTGGGGGCGATTACTCTGCATCTGTACAAGAGGCCCATTCAGCAACACAGGATATGGCGAAAATCAAACAGGATTGGGTGGGATGCATATTTGGGTTCTCAGGGGGCTGAAATCAAAGAGGTGTGCAAACTACTCTGCATAAATCCCTGCCATCCGCTCTGATAAACGAGATTACAGACTTGAAAGGTCGATGATATATTCTTAAGGAGAAATGCCAGGTTCTTGTTAATGTTTGTGCCTGACAGGATCTGAAAATAGATTCGAGTGAGCTAATTGCATTGATGACCACGTACAGCAGTGGGGTAGGAGCTTAAAACAATTTTATTACCTCCTATGGGCAGACATTTGCCTTGTGAGACACACCCACCCCCTCCAGAAGAGTCCATTGTAAACAACTGGCTCCCCTTTTACAAGAGCTGAAATCTTTATGGTGTTTGGGAACGCTGAAACCAAAAGCTACACAGCTTATTTCAATCTTGTCTCTTGGCCAGGAATGCTCACCCCTTGATTTTTCTCCCTCTTTCTTTCTCACTAACTATGCCTGAGGCATGTTCTAGAAAACTAACATTGGCAAGAGTTCTGTTCCCCCTTCCCAGCTTTATTCCTGGGCATGACAAACGGTGGGTCTTTTAGAATTCCCCCTATAGTTCCAGCGGACAGGTACTCCTCCTCCACTCTCCTCTGCCTTCACGGAGCTGGAGCCTTACTTCAAAGTCTTAGATCTCCGACGGGAGGAGGTGCGAGTCATTTCTGATAATTTGCTGCCGCGATTGAAGCCTACAGGATTGAAGCCTGACTGTTTGCCTGGCTCATGGAGCCGTAATGAGTCTCTACCCAAGTGCATTACTATATAGGCAAGTGGACACTGCGTTAATCCCATTGCTCCAGACTTGCGCAGGTGTGGGGCCACGTGCAGCATCCCGTTTCCATCTTCACTTGGCTCCTTTAACAGACATAAACATATTAAAAGAGTGAGATTAGAAGAAAAAATGGAGAGAATAGACAGTGTCTTTTTCTCCTCATTAATATGTGGCTAGATGTGTTTATGTGTATTATGTCACTTTTGCTCACTCAGAGTTGCATTTTGGAATTATTTAGGAATATTTAATATCATTCCCATTGTCACAACTTACTTGATCTAAGCAGGTTAAAACAATTCTGGCCTAAACGGGAATTACCCGTGCTCCAGCTAGGTTTCAAAATGAGGAAGGCCTAGTTGATTCATATGTAACTTCTAAAAATTTCCTTGGCTTATTAATCATGCTTCAATTCTATCAGAGGAAACGTTGCTTTTGCACCATTACAAGCCTCCTTTCAGACTGTTCTCATGCTTTTGGAGCCACATAAATTACCATCTTGCTGTGCTCATGGCTGGACTTGCAGTCAGGTGCTGCGGTGGGTCTGAGAAGGAATAAGACCTGCTTCCTTCACTCAGAGGCTTCGAGTGCACGTAAACAAAGAGGTTGAATAAAACGTGGGGAGCCCCTCACTGGACATCTGAACAGGGCTGGGTGGGTCCCAAAGAACAGGCAGTCAGTTCTGACTGGGGTGGAGGCGGCCAGGAAAGTCTGCAGGAGGTGAGCTGGAGCCGAGCTTTGCGAAGACATGCAGACGTTCACTGGTCGCCGGGGGAAGGGGGCATCCAGAGGGGGAGCTGATGGAGGCCCCACCTGGAACGGTCTCCCACCGGCTGGGCGACGTTGGGAGAGCCACTTCACTACTGTAGCCAAGTTTTCTCACCTGTAAACTGTAATCCCTGCCTTGCAAAATTGCTAGAAAGATTATATGCGAGAATATACATGAAAGCGCTTTGACAACTGAAAAATACTCCTCAGATGTAATGCATCCTTAGAGCACTAAATGTTTTTCTAACTTTCAAAAGAGCTTGCTTAATCTTTGAAGGTAACTGTGCCTATGTGATGGGGGAGTGTGTGTGTGTGTGTGTTCATCTAAAACGGGCCGTGGGTATGTTCGTTAGCCTAAGCTGCCGTCACAAGTAGAACCAAAAATGTCTTATGGTTTAAATACAATGGGAGTTAATTTCTTGCTCTTGTGGGAGACTAAGGTGAGTGTCCCTATCAGTGAGTGGCTTTCCTCCAAAGGGATTCTAGCTGTGTGTCCAAAAACAAGAGCAAAGAGATTCGGGGTCAATATCCCGCAGGCTACGGCCTCGGGAAGTGGTGTCTAACATATGTGCACACTCATTTACACTGCAGGCAGCACTCGGACCTCTGCCCAGAGCAGAAATCAGTATAAACAGATCACACACACACATAGGTAAACCCGAGAATAATACTAGCTCCCCTTTTACAAAAGCAGTAATGTGTACTAGGTTTAGGGCAGACGAAAACCTGTGAAAATGGCCCCAGCAGAAAACGCCTTTTCTGATTTTGCCTGTATTAGCTTTAAATCAGCCAGGAAAAGAAAGAGACGCCAAGAGAGAGCGATCAGTGGGTGAGAAAACTGAAGGGAGAGGGCTCCTGCCCCTTGCCTTCCTGAGTTTTGTCCACGGGTCCTCCTTGAACATCCATTTCCGGTTGTTCGTTGCCACTTGAGCAAGTCTGTCCGGCCTCCCTTCCTTCAAGCAGCGCTGACCACCCAGGGCTCTAGCGGCAAGAAAAGATCATGTGTTTTCCTCTCTGCATGATGAATATGCCAGATGAGCACGAGTCCCAGGAATATCAATTATTTAGGACGTAACTAGGTCACTAGATCTAAGACAAAGGACATGGCTGCAGCTCTTGCATCTGCTTAAGTGGCGGACGGCCATTTGATAAACCTACCACCTTAAGAACACAGATATCTTTGAAAGAGACTCCAGCTTCTTGCATTGCTCAGGCCCTCACCCCGTGTTGAGTGGAAAAGAAGACAAAAGCTACACCTTGCAGAAGGAAGGGGGAAACCCACAAAGAGGCCGGCCTGACATTTATCAGCGTGAGCTCTTTTTGTTTTGGTGACATAACACACCTTGTCAGTTCCTGGCAGGCTTACTTTCTTGCTTGCCTGAAGTAACAACAATGCCAGTTACTAGAAATGCAGAAGCTATAAATGGTAACTGATAATATTATGCGTATTTTTAATGACTTGAAAACATGTCTTCCGAAAACTGCGTTGGAGGCTCCAGTTCCAGTTCCGTAAGTCAAGGGGTGCTAAGATTAAACCCGGCAAATCCATGCTTTCTTGGTCTGAGACACCTCCAGCATCTGCCAAGCTTCTGGCTGAGTGCTAGGCAGCCTCTGTCCTTGTCTTTGAAACAGAAGTTTTGGGGAAGCCCCAGGAAGCTCAAACAGCTGGACTGGTCCTGAAGCGCAGCCAGGATTCGGCTGTTGCTGGCGTTGGCCTCCTTGGCCTAAATCTGTTTGGAGGCCGTTTGGCACTGTGGGCTGGAGTAAATTCAGCATTGGAATGTCATTGTTGACCCCTGACTACACATAAAGATGAGGCTTCATTGAGAGTACCTACCTTCGAATATTGCATGTAAGAACGTGATAAAAACCGTTGCTCATGGTGGCATCAATGACTTCATTTAAGCCTTGGAGCTGGGTTTTCTCCAGAACCCAGAAATACGTGTTTCCTTGGTAAACTGCTTGCTGTGGAGAGCCTTCTGAGATCCAGTCTCTGTTTTGAGAGTTAGTGGGAAGTATCAAAAAGTTCCGGCCTTGGCCAAGGAAGCCTCTTACTTTCTCGACAGTGAATTTCTGGCCTGAATGTCACCTTTGACTAATTTGATGTAGGAGGTCATGTTAGGTAAGGTTTCTAACTGACCTGTATGTTTGCTCTGCACCCTGTGCCCACCTCTGACAGCACGGCGCTGATGCGATTTTTCCTTTCTGACGGCTCCTTAGGATCCCTGCCTCAGCCTGATCACCCTACCTATGTATGTTCACACGGAATAACCTCCTGTTTGGATTTGCCATGGTTTGAGATGATCAACTTGTCCATTTGTTAGTAGAATGAAGACTCTAGACACTTTAGACATGGACAACATTTCCACCAAGGTGAAACCGTTGTGTTTCTTCACCTTTATATATGAGGTAAATTTGGATATCTTGACACTAAATTCCACTAAGGAGCTTTGCAGAGACTATGGAGATTTTTGGCTAGAATGAAGTAGAGCATTAAATTACTTCTACTAGCCTTGAGAAAATCAGATAAATGTCCTATTCAGAAACAATACAGGAAAAGTTTAACTTCCATAAAATTCACCCAGAATTGAAAATATTTTGGCATTTAAGAAAATCAAATTTTGTAACTCTTAGTGGTCTTTGAGGGGAAGAAACTAGTTGAGGATGTTCAGGCCTCCTTTTCCTCTGTCTGCTGCTGCCTTTTTGGCATGTCACTGTAAGTCAACGAAAAGTTGATGGAATTCACGCTCAAGCTATTTTGCTATTTGCTAGCAACTCTGGAAAAAAATCAGTGGGGAAAATATTTGAAATCAGTGATTTAAATAAAGATGTTAGATTATATGGATTTAATTTAGTCATTTCATCCCTGACTTCTTCAGTCGGGTAGGAATCAGCGTGGCCAAAGAGCCTGTCCTGCCTTTAAGGAACCCTCAAGACTCCTCTTTGTGACCCACACCCCAGCACAGTGGACACGTGGGGACCCCACAGGCCACGCCTGCTGTCAAATCGCCCCTCTCATCTCTTCCTCTGCTGCTCCTTAGACATCATCCCATCTGTATGTCTCATCTCCCCAGTTAAATGTGAAGTCTCTTGAGGTCAAGACTTGTCTCCCATCTGTTCTCTCCTGTACTATTTATCAGAGTCTCATATGTAGACTTCTCGTTCTAAAAATGTTTTTTTGATGAACAGGTGAAGTTGGAAACTGATGAAATTCTCCCAAACTCCTTGCTTTCCTTTTTACCCCATATTCGTATCTCACACTTTGTCCTTTAAAAAAGAGCATATTACTTTTTGTTTTCCTGATTAGTAGAAATGGGAAAATTCAAAAAAATATGAAGCAAAGCAATAAAAAAATCAGCCACAAACTTATGCCCAAATAATATCCACCATTAGTATTTGGCATGTTTCCTCGCAGTGCTTTTTCTGTGCATGTGTGTCTGTGTGTGTGTACACACACACAATTGGGGGGCGTCTGTTTTACTGCTTGCAAACATACTGCATTAGTTTTCCATGCCACTTTTTTCACTTAACAGTTACAATATAACATTTCCCCCAAGTCTTAAGACATTTTTGGTTATATTCTATTCCATCATGTGACTACACCTTACTGTGTTTATTAGTTAGGCTCCCTTTCAAGTTGCATGTCCAGCTCAACCTAACCGAAGCAAAACAAGAAGGGGGACTATTTATTATAAGGCTCTATAAAGCATGACAGAAATGAGTTTAACCCAAGTTATATGGTGGTAGGCCCCAAAGACAGGTGACTGTGTGGAGCTGTAGGAAGAGAAGATCTCTGTCTGGGACACTGGATAAGGCTTCTCAGGGGCAATGGATTTGATCTGGGCACAAAGGAGAGGTAAGAGTGATAATGACCTAAATGTTTTAAGCGCTGCCCATGGGGTACACTATCCTAATCATTTGACATGGATTGTCTCATTGACTCTTCAAAATCTTTGCCCTTTTCACTTAACAAGCACGGTGTAATATTTTCCCCATGTCTTAAGACATTTTTGGTTATATTGCATCATTTAAATTCTATATATTCCATCATATGAATACATCCTAATTTATTTATTAACTAGACTCCTTCTAAGTTGCAGAATCAACTCAAGCTACCTGAAGCAAAACAAGCTTATTACCTTTATTCTAAGACTTTCGAGAAAACCGAGGCCTAGAGAGGGTATGTAAACTCGCCCATCTTCAATTGGGATTTTGACATGCGGAAAGGAGCAGTGGGGCCGAGTTGGGTAATGGGGCAGAGGCAGGCAATTACCCAGGTGGATAGCCTCACCCTCGGCATCGGTAGCCACATATGTCCACACAGGGTCACAGTGAGTCTGCTTCTTGGGGTACATTTGGTTAGGACCTGCCAGATGGAGAAGACAGGAAATAACTGCCTTTCACCGTGGCTCTTTAATGTGGTTCCTTAAAGAGCCATCTGTGCTCCCCACCGTAAGGCACCGCGGATTTCAAGTCATCTCTTGAATCTTCCGTGTGACAGTTTCTCCTTTAACGGCTCCTTAGTCAAAGATCAAAGGCCACCAGACATTTTAACTTGGAGCCAACTTTTAGTAAAGGATTTCTGCAAAGATGGGTCATTCAGATGACTTTAGAGAAATATACACACATACGAAATGAAAATTTTAGGTCATTTCCATCTTTTAAAATGTGATACATCTGTTATAAAAATAAGAGTGGTAGGCAAACTGACATGCTGTGACGAGCTGGTTCTCCTCACTATCTACCTAAGACAAAAGCATTTGTCCAGGACAAATGGGTTTAGGACGTCGCAGAGAGCCCTAAACACTCTGCTGGCTCATTCCTGCCTCCTTGCATCCTCACTCACCATGTAGATGGGAAAGGTCTGCTTTCTTAGTTTCCCCCGGCCCACTTGTTGCATGCAGGGAGCCACCAACGGAAGGCAGCCGCCCCGGGCTGTTGGCCGGCTGCAGTGGGTCTGCCTTTGAAGTCCTACCCTGCAGTTATCTCTCATTGCGCCAGGCAGGCTGTAAGCAAGCCCAGTGCATGCAGCTGTCACCATTTAAGCCAGCAGGCGTTTGAAGCTGTGCCGCCCCCCACCCCTGTGAGGGAAGCCAGAATAGAACAAAGTGTGGTGTTCCCATGAAATCGTTGGAATGCTTGATAAGAGGGTGAGTCTGCACCTTTTTCCCTTGGTGGAGGAGGCTGGGGAGGGGGTCTGGGAGGAGAGGAAGGTGGCATTACTCCCTCTTCGCAAATGTCGAGCACAGGTCGCTGGAACTGCCACATGTGTCTATCATGGCCCTTGATGACAAAATAGTTTGCATGTGGTAGAGATGGTGGTGATGGCATAGGGAGGAAGGGGGGAGGGGAAGACGGGTCTCAGGATTTCTGGAGGATTTGTCATGTGGGCCTCTCCCAGGCAAGCTTTCTCATCTCTTCCCCTCTGCGTTCAGGGCACAGTTGAGAGCTGACTCCTCACGCTGCTGTTGAGCACATGTTCTAAATGAGGGGTAAGATAACGGCACAGCCGTCGAGGCAAGAAGCATGGGCTGTGGTTTTTTATTTCCTCACCGTGTCTTTATCACTTGACAAGCGTGTTGGTTTGTTTCTACCCTGGAGTGTGAGCTAGGACAAACTTTTACCACCTCTTTTTTCTCTTTTCCTCCACTCCCAGGCCTCATCTCTCAGAAGAAGATGGTCTGTCAAAGCAAGCGGCTGCCAGTGGGCCCTGCGTTTGCCTGGACTTCCCAAACCTCTCGTCAGAACGCTGCCTTCTGCAGGGGTTTCTCTGCACATGCCACACATGGAGACCTGGTGCTTGGCATCTGGAGAGCAGCTCCGTGTGACAGATCTACTCACAGGACCCGGCGGTGGCAGGGCCGCGATGCCCTTGAGCACCCGACTCGTGCTTTCACTGACCAGCTGTCCTGCTTGCTGAGCCACCTCGCTGCCGGCTTCATGGAGGAGCCGAGCGACCACGAGCAAATTGCTCATTTTACACACAAAAATGCAGACAGTAGGAGAGCCTGTGTAAGCTGAGTTACAAATTGCCGTCAGGCCTGGGTGGGGAATTGGCAGGCACTGGTGCAGCTTCACTTCTCTGCTGCTGGGAGGATGGGACGCGACCTGTTCCTCTTGCTGGAAGGCCCGCAGAGGAATCCCTGGTATGAGAATTGTCGGCCTCTCTGCACCTGCAGACACCACGTGGCTGGCCCCTCGGTGGCCCGGGAGATTACATAAAGGGCTGGAAAGCTCACAGTCTTTGTGAAGGATAAACATCTTCCTTCTGCCACCAAAGTGGCAGCAATGTGGTTCCAGGATGGGAGGTTTCAAAACAAAACTAGGCCAGTGCTGTTGGCATGGCATCGCCTCGGAGGAGATGCCATCAGCTCTCATCAGACACCAATTTGCTCGTCTGTGGATTACCCAGACCTTTATCCTTCCCTTCCTATTTGGCAGCATCAAACCGGACAAAATTCAAACCGGACAATTTTTCTATTTGTAAGCACTTTATAGAAAAGGTTTGGTTGCAGAAATGATTGAAGCTACTGACCAAAATTAAGTTTTCAGTGTGCCCGTGAGTGGCTTTGCCATCTTCGAGAGAAGTCCGGCAGGATCAAAGTCTCGGCCAAGTTTCTCCCAGGTCTCCCCACTCCTTTCAGCTTAAGCCACTGTGAAGCCAAGAAGAGGGTAAGACCCATTCCTATGGTGGCATTTCTGGTCTTCCGAGGATCCCGTGTCCTCTCTCAAAGCTCTGGGCAGCCTGAGGGACTGGCAGGATGCTCTCCCACAAAGTGTATCACAGTCTCGGTGAAATAGTCTTCAGAGTCGAGCAGTGAGGATTAGGATCAGCCAGGATGAATAATTCTCTGAGCCTCTTGACCTCATTTTTCATACAAGGGGTTGAGGAGGCAGCAAGACTATTTCTTGGGAGAAATGTCATGAAGACTATGTGTCCCCCTTAAGACTCATACTCTTTATTGACGTGGCGAAATGAATTCAGAAGAGGACTATGTTGTGCTTTGGTGGGCTCTACGCTTCAATCTCTCATCACACACCTCAGTTCCATTGGTTATGTCAGACTGGGCCAGGAGAGTTTGGGGAAAATCTGGGTTCAAATTCTGGATTTGCCATTTGATGATGTTGCTGATCCTTTCTGAGACATAGTACCTTGTCTCTAAAACTGGGCCAATCCTATCCACCAGAGAGAGCTGGTGAGTGAGATACATCAGAGCCGGTAAGCGCTCAGCACCATGGTGGACACATAATGAGCACCCAACAAGCAGAGGCTTCTGCTTTCATCCCCTACTTCCCCAGGCCCAAGATCCAGGAAGAAAAGGCACGGAAGCATGGGGTGTAGTCATCTGAGAAATAAACCTGAAGGCCAAGAGGAAGCAGGAGACCGGGCTGAGAGGACAGGGACAGGCGCTGCTCCTTAAGCCACCCACTGACCTCCTGGGCTTGACACCCAGCTGGTGCCTTTGAAGCAGAGACTAAACAGGAGACTCAACAGAGGCCGCACGAGCGGTGGTATTCATGAGGGACAGTCAGCTGTGGGATCTGGACACTCAGCGCTGGGAGCGTGAGGTTCCCGCAGGCTGTTCAGTCCTCTGGGGAGGGGGTACAAACAGGGGATGGGGCAGGCCAGAAACTCACCCCTGGGGAAATGGGGTGTGAGGTAGGACTCATTTGTAGGAGAAAAAGGGCGGGAACCTAACTATCGGGGAAGACAAGACAGAGCCATTCTGATCCTACTAATGACCTAGGACTTCCGAATTAAAACACAGACACACACACAACTATGAGATGAGGGAGATACGGCTTCACTATAATACGTAGGAAAAAAATGGGGGATTTTATTTGACTCAGTACAAATCGACAGTGTGATGTGGATGGCACTGCTGGTCCCGCTTCATTGGGGTCAACAGAGACAGCGAGGCACGGCGATGGGTGAGCATTGAGGAGGGTGAGGGGACGGGAAACGGAACCATTGGGAAAGTGTTGGAGGGAGTGGGGAGGTCTAAAAAAGAAAAGAAAAAGACAGCGAGAGCACATAATAAGTACCTTCAAACATGAAGGCGAGCGTGTCAGTCAGGGCTCGTGGTTGATACAGCAGAAACTGACTCGGGCTAACTCACCCAAGAAAGGAGTTTGGTGGAAGCCTATGGGATGATTCGCAGGATCATCAGCAGACGGAGAGCCTGACGGGGAAAACACTCGAGGGCCAAGTGAGGCTGGCGGCAGAGGAAGCACCGCGGCCACGCCACAAGAGCCATCCAGCCAGGGTGCCACCCTGGTGCCACCTCCACGGCACACCATGGCCGCTGCCTCTGGACCCTCTCTGCTTCCTCGGATGTTCTTGGACTGGGCCTGTCCCACTTCCTCCCTCACATGGAAAATCTTCGTCGGAGCTCCGAGTTGGTTACGCGGCCCATCCCCAGCTTCTCTCTGGCGATGAGTAGAGGGAATGCCCAGTCCCCTTCAGCTTCCATGGGGGGAAGTAGGGCCCTGCATCCCTCTAAGATGCACACAATGAAGCAGAATTCCAAACGAAGGACACTTGGGGTCCTGGGCAGGCATGAACAAACCAAAAAGCCAAGCCAGCAAGTGTACCCTCCGAAGCAGCAATATGTGATTACTTGAATAAAACCCGAAAAAGCAGGAAAAGATCGATGGGTATATGCAACTGGGAAGCAGAGATTCACTTGATTTCAAAATATGTTTCTAATGTTCAAAACTGGGCCAACACAATTGAGTTGCTTTTGGTGGTAGTGAGTTCCCCATTCCTGGCAGAATGCAAGAAGGGGGTGGTGACCACTTTGGTGGAAGTTTTCCTCTTTAATAATAAATTTCTAGTAACAAACCAATGTACGTATTTCTAAATTATTTTGTCTACATTGTAACAAAGAAGGAGAATATTCTACAAACTCTTCTGTGGATTTTGACATTTCCACTCTTAATCCCTAACTCTCGAGACAATTCACATGTGCTTGGGTGAGAGTGTGGAAAAAAGCCACGAATCCCTTGACGTTCTCTAATAGATCTAGAGGATGCGGGTGAGGGAGCGGATGGTGAGCACCTGTTTCCCCCTGCCCAGAAGCGTCAGTCAGTCATCCAAGCCAGGCAGAGTCAGGCGGGAGGGTGAACGTTCCTGATGACTAAATTGGTCCCTAACACCTCCAGCAGAGTGGTAGTTAGAAATGGGCTGGGGTAGAGGAAAGGGAGAGAGACTGCTTCTTCTGTCCTCAGTGCCAAGACAGACCTCCCACCCTCCTGCCACTTCCCACCCCAAAAGGAGGCCCCAGAGGCTAATTGCTCTGGCACCCACGGAGCGGCCTCTGGGCTCACTGGTGTTGGGTGGTTCCTCTGCCCAGTTCCTTCACTTTCTGTGCTTGGGTTAATTTCTTCTCTGTTGCCCATAAATATTTACAGCTCCTCCATGCCCTTGCAAATTGGATTAATCCAGCATATTTCTGGGACAGAGACAGCCCTGTCCAACAGTAGTCCTGAGGAACAGGCAGAAGCATTTTCTTCCTTTACACTGAGTGAGCTCAAGGAGAGAGAGAGAGAAGGGAGGGAGAAACAGAAGAAGGGAGAGAGAAGGAGGGAAAACGTTAAAAATGTTTTAATGTAGGCCAAATGTCAAAGGACATATGAACTCGATATTTGGGGAGCAAATTAGGAAAATGGGGCTTGCTGCAGGATGGTGTCGGTACCCAGGTGAGGGTGTGAAGAGACTGGGGGAGTCCAAAAATAGATGATAGATGGTGCCGTAATCGCGATTCTGGAGAACAATGTCAACACCCTCAAACCTTCTTCCCCAGGGAAGGGAAAGAAGGAGATTCCTGGCAGTCTTTTCCACGTTCTGGAAGTGAAACCACAGATAAAGAAGTTTCTGAGCAAGGTTATTAGTGTGGATAATTACCATACTCATTCGAGTTTTATTTAGATTCATACGGTACCTTCGGAAAAGAAATTTTAAAGCCGTTGAACTGCCAGGCACTTTTTCCTTGCAAATTTTAAACTGCTTGAGGGTTCTATCTTTTCAGATATTCACCATTTTCTGTTAAGAAAATGCCTCCCCTGAAATGTGACTGTTAAGGAAATTTATCTTTTCCCTCAGTCTTCGCAGGAATGCAGGCGATTAGCCACGGAGCCCCTCTCTGTCTGGCACCAGGCATCAGTCGCCCAGCTACACAGAGGCCATTTGAATGGAACTGCAGAATAATCTTCCGAAGAAAAAGCGAGCTCACGGAGTGGCGGCCCATTGTGCCGAGTGAGACACACCGGGCAGAGGCTTGTTGGCGGCGGGAGGCGGGGTGTTAGTGACAACGGTGGGGCAGCGGCCTGAGAGGTACCGATCAGTCTACAGGCCTCTTTGTAATTAGTGCTCCCTATGCATCCTAATTAAAGACCCTGACTGTTTTAAAAAATTTAAGGATTTTTGTTTCATTGGCCGCAGAAGACCTTCAAACCTAAGCATTATGGGGAACTCCAATAAATAAAACAGATGGTAATATCTAAAATTTATACAGCATTTTTCATTTACAAGGTTTTATATATTGATTTATTTAACCCTCAGAACACCCTATAAAGAAACATTATTGTCCTCTCTATTTACAGGTGAGGAAGCTGCTGTGCAGACAAGTAACTTGCCTAAGATCACGCAGCTGGGAACCAGCAGGGCTGTGGCCTGAACCGGGCGGTCAGCGTCCGAGCCTCTGCTTCCAGCGAGCCGAGGACTTGGGCCTGGGTTTGTGCCTCTCCTTTTGCTCTGCAAAATACCTCGGGCTCCATAAAACACAGCTTGAAAGCCACTCACACATTTCAACTCACTTCTTTTAGGGAGGAGAAATCGAAACCCAGGGAGGTAGAGTGACTTTCCTGAGATCTCAACATTGGCAACAAAAAAAAAAGGTCACGTACATCCTCTTCTTTAGGTTAAAGACTCCCCAGATTTTCTCCTCATGGGGCAGACTGTGTATTTTCCATTGAGAAAAATGCCTTGAGGGTGTGTGAGGGTATCCTGAAGAGAGTGTAGATGGGTGCAGGAAGCTGAAGAGTGTCAAAGTGATCAAAGGGCAGCTTGGGGGAGAACTCAAATTACCTAAATTATGTCTTTTGCTTCCTCCACTTCTTATATGAAGCTCAGAACAAGACGAAGGCAAATGAGACCCAAGTCAGAAGCTGTCATCATTCATTTACTCAAGAAACACTGATTAAGAGCCTACGATGTGTCATGAACTGATTACAACAAGCCACACACCATGTGTCACGTACGAGGTGCGGGACACAATGAGGAGTCAGTCGAGTTCCTCCCCTTTAGAGCTCACATTCTAGGACCAGCTAACTTTGCGTAGAGATGGTCTTTGGAGGGCTGAGAACCAGTCTTTACCGGGGCCAGCTACTGTTAGGGGATTTGTTTAACAGATTTTACCTTAACAACTTTAAACTCTGTGCCTCACTTCTTATTTGTGTAGCGAGTACACATAACGTCTTTTGTTTCTATGGAAGCACATAGAAATCTTTCAGGAATTGATAGCATCTTTTTCTGTCCATTAACTCACCAGGCAGTGGTCTATTACCATGGATGAAAAGTACTTTACAATTTTCAAATCATTTCTAGAGCTTGCTGATGATAGAAGCTTCAGTAAGAGAAATGTGGTGATTAATAATGTTACATTTTTATGTGGACTAAATTACATATATGTAATTAGACCATCACTCAACAAATATTTATTGAACCATTTTGTGTTAACCTGGTGGCTTTTGATTGCAAATAATTGAAGCTCAAGATGGCTTAAGCAATAAAGATAACTTGTTGGATTACGTAACTGAGAAAGTCCAGGGTTATTTGAAGCTTCAGGATGGTGCGATCAGGGCTCCATTTCTTTAAACTTCTCTCTGCCCTGTCTCTCCTCTGGGTACTGCTTTTATTCTCAGGCTGGTCTTTCTCCTAGTAGACAAATAGCCTCACTTCATGTCTGTGGTTCATGAAAAGTGGCTCTTATATTTTAAGGCTTATATCTGCACACCACTCTGTCTAGAGTGAGAAATAATATCTCCTCTAATCAGCAAAAGAAGGTCTAGCTTCACTCTTCAAACTTGGGGCATGTGCCTTCTCTAAACCAATCACTGTGGATATGAAATTGAGATTATACTGACTGGTCTGGGCTCTTTAGGGTCCATCCCTGGAGACAGAGGAGAGGTTGACAATCCCATATGAACTGTACAGCTGCTATGCAATGGAGGAGAGGTGAGATGAATGCTGGGAAGCAACTCAATTCTGCTTTAACCTACTCAGTGCCATATCCTGTGCTCCACTTTGAAGGTGTCACCGTGCATGACCCAGTTTAGCCAACAGATCTTTAAATTGTACGCAGATCTTTAAAACATTCATAGCACAACTTTGAGATTCTTAAACTATGAGCTGTGGCAAAACTCTGTTCTGACATTTCTAGAATGATTTCCTAGCCTACAGCGCACAGCGCAGGAATTGAAGTGGGAGACCAAGGGCTTGCTCACTTACACCCCCAACAAATAGGTGTTGTGTACGAGACCCAGAATTCAAGGAGGCACAGCCCGCAGGTTCATATGAGGATTTACAGGCTTCTTATTTGATTCTGCTTTAGATTTTCAGTTCGAAGCAATTAAGCTCTCATAATGGAAAGAATATATTTAATATTTAGGTAAATTGAACTAAAATAATTGATCTAGGTGACTGCATGGTACATTTAACCCAAGTCTGAACCAGGCTGGCATATGACCAAGGGGAGATGGAGTGTGGGTAGAAGGCCTCTGCCATGCGGCTGTGTCCCCAGTGGCCTGGAAATCTCTGTAACAAGTTGTGTCCATGGAGTTTGACAGTCTGGCAGCCTGCACGTGTGACAGGACAGTCACTGGTGTCCACCATGATATTAGGGCTGAAGTAGGGATGAGAGCTAACAGAGACATCCTGAAAATTCTGTTCCTCACAAGCACTTGGGGTACGCAAGTTCTATTATTCAATAGGGACAATCCCTGAAAATCTTTAAATTGCTGTCTGAGTAACACTCGTGAGCTGCATTTTATAAATTATACGATGCTATAGCATAAACAGTGATCTTTGTCTTATTCACAATCTTAGCAAAGACTGATAGAAAGATAGCACATGAAGTCCGATGCTCTAGGGTGATAATATCAAACCTTATTCAATGAAACTCAATAAAATTCAGTCCCCTGCCTTTAGTCTATTACTGTCACTGCACCGCCATGACACCTACAAGTAAGGTTCATCACCTTATTTTGAGATTCTTAGTCAACTTGGAGAGAACTGTAAAGACATGAAAAAATAAGTATTGAGGCTGAAGGAAAAAAGAATAAAGCCTATGCCATGTACATTTCATTAAACTTAGTTTAGAACAAACAGGGCACTGTTCCAGTGAGTCATAATTACAAAATAGGTACTTAGTTACCATGTTTCCCCTCCACTATCTTTGCCATGACCCTGGGAGCGGGTAAGTGGTTGTTGGCATCCAAGGGCTTCAGGAGCTGGAAGGAGAGAGGACATTTCACTGCGAAGGGTCAGATTGCACCGTCCTCCTGGTAAAGAGAACCATGAATGTCCTCAAAGACACCAGAGGCAGCATTCTGCCCATTAAATGAGCTTCTGCATTAATCCAGCAATTCTTTGTTGATAACCAAATGCGTGGCAACCACATTTAAATTTCAGAACATTACAATTAGATGCATCTGAATAAAGAAGAAGAGAAAAAGGGAACCAAAAGCTATTAAGTGGAGCTTTTAAAGTCCTGGCGAGGTGCTATTTCAAAACAAACATGTCAGTGCTGTCCCGGGTAAAGGAGATAGAGTCCTCCAGTCTCTTCAG